CGGCCGCGGCCGCCGCCGCCGCTGCAAGGGAAGGCCGGCGGAAGAGGCGGCACCTGGCCTACAGCTGGATTAGGGTTACAGTCTGTCCTAGCTGCCCGGCCCGACGTTGTACGGGCCCGCACGGGTGGAAAGAGTACAGAGACGGCGCGCGGGCCCTGCCTGCCCGCCGCGGCCGTTGGCGCCCGCGGCGTCACCGAAACCTTACGGAGCATGCGCTGCGGCGGGTGGGGTGAACGTAGAGGGTTAGAACTAGGGTCAAAGGGTAAGGGCGCGCAGGAGAGCGGGCTTCCTGGTCCTGGGTCCCGTTCGGCGCGGGGCCTGTCTCCCGGAGCAGTCGAGCTGAGATGGGCTGCTTGTCCTCCACCAGCCACGCGCAAGAAGGCAGAGAAAGAAAGCGCCTTACCCGCCACGCTGCCACCGGACTCAGGCCTGCCTGAAGTAGCTACCCACTCGCATCCTCGCTACCTCTTAAAGGACTTTCTGGAGGGATCTTGGTAGCGCTCAACTCTGAAAGCCCAGCAGGCCCTGAGAAGATCCTTGAGCTTTAGCTGACATGTCTCCCTCACTCGAGTCTGTAGCTGAAGGCAGCGTTGTCCAAGCGGCCCAGGCCAGGAGGGAAGCTTATAGGAGGCGCTCCCTCAGCTCAGAAGCGCCCGGCGAGGGCTGTGTACCCTCTAACGAACCCCATTCCTCCCACCGCCGCTCTCCAGTAGTAGTTTTGCAAAAAGAAAAATTGGTCAAGAAATTTAAAGTTCTTGTTACCTTGACCAGTCAGTTAAGGAAAATAATGAGATGGCGTCTCTGCAACTTCAAGGAGCAAAATTGGTGTTTTCTTTGTTGACAAAATATTTGATACTGAGTTTTAAAGCTTATTATATTGCTTCCTCAACATTCATTGTAATCGTGTTTTTAATTAACTTATGAAAAAAACTCCCAGACTTCTGGTTGACCCGACACAAGTGGAATGCTAACACTAAGAAAATAGAAATTTTGGGACATTTACCACAGCTAAGGTATCTCTGGTAGCGTAGTGCCTAAGGCATTTTGACTGTTAACCAGAAGGCTGTCGGTTCAAACCTACCAGCCACTCCTCAGAAGGAAGATGGGGCAAATCTACTTCCATAGTGATACTGCCTCGGAAACCCAAGGAGGGGTCGCTATGAGTCTGGTCGGACTCGATGGCACATAACAACACCACCACAGCTAAACACTTATCGTATCTTCTTGGGAAAAATAGGGTAATAGTGTATGTGTATGAATGAGCACTTGAACTGGTAACTCACAGATCTTACAAAGCAAACTAACATATAAAGTAATTTTATTACCAGAAGTATCTTAAGGCGTTGGTTTATCGTTGTTTTTTCACTTCTAACAAATTATTTGACCCGGACAACTACACTGGTGGGCACTATAATGCCTGAAAATACAAGGCGCCTTAAATGTCAGATACTCACAGAAGGAACTTTTTTTAAATTATAGGTCTGTTATGCCTCCTTTCCTCCTTCCTATTTAAATCCAAGTGTGAAATGGCCCATCTTTTATTTTAGCTTTCCTGAGGCTTGTGGGAGGAGCTCTGGTAGCATAGTACCTAAAGCACTTGACTGCTAATCAGAAGGCTGGCGGTTCAAACCCACCAGCCACTCCTCAGAAGGAAGATGGGGCAATCTACTTCCGTAGTGATATTGCCTCGGAAACCCAAGGAGGAGTCACTATGAGTCGCTTCGATTCTAGGACACATAACAATAACAACAACTACAGGCTTGTGGAGCCTCCTCTTAAGGAGAGTAATTTAAATCCTGTTGTGACTTTCATAGCTACTTCTGCAAGATCCTTCACATGCCTTCTGTTCCAAAGCTCTGCAGTAATTGCCTTTAACAACAGATTAATAGTGTATATTATGCTTCAATAAAACATTTTTTTTAAAAAAAGTTTATTTTATAATGGGTTTTTGGGTTTCAGTATTTGGAAAACCAAAACTCTTTAAGAGTAGTAAAGTAGTGTTTTTATTTACCTCAGCCCTCCCATCTGTTTTTCTAGAAAAAACATTCAGAGCAGAATACAACTAATAAAGTTGAGATGCAAATAGCAGATACTGTAGCCTGCCCCCACAGAATTAGCCCATGCAGGCTAAAAGAAGTTCCCATATTATATGTCCATTAAAAGATGAGTTGAATCTTTTAGTATTTATAATTTACCTCAATGAAGGCCAGTACTGGACAATCTACTTCCATAGAGATACCATCTCAGACATCCAAGGAGGGATCACTATGAGCTGGATTTGACTCCACGGCAGTGAGGTATTTCTTTTTCTTTCTTTCTTTTTTTTTTTTTTTTTTTTTTTTTTTTATGTTATATCCATAAATAAGGAGCTCTGGTAGCATAGTGCCTAAGGCACTTGACTGCTAACCAGAAGGCTGGTGGTTCAAACCCACCAGCCACTCCTTGGAAGGAAGGTTAGGCAATCCTACTTCTGTAATGATACTGCCTTGGAAACCCAAGGAGGGGTCGCTATGAGTCAGGGCCGACTCGATGGCACATAAAAACAACAACAACAACATCCATAAATAAAATGCTCTTGGGTATTTTGATACCAAAACACTAACTGCGTTGCCATCGAACTGTTTCCAACTCATAGCATATTTTGATAAGCATCTTTAATTTAAAAGGGGAGGCTATGACACATGTTATAAATTGAATTTTGTCCCCCAGAAATAATGTATTATAAATCCTAAACCAGTGGTTAGCCCTGGTAGCACAGTGGTTAAGCTCTCAGCTGCTAACTTCTAAAGGTTGGTGGTTCAAACCCCCCAGACACTCTGCAGGAGAAAGACATGGCAATCTGCTTCTGTAAAGATTATACCCTTGGAAACCCTCTGAAGCAGTTGTACTATGTGGTTGCTATGAGGCAATGGGTTTGTTTTTAAACCTATGGTTAGTAATCCCATTTGCGAATGGGTTTTCTTTGTTATGGTAATGAGGCAGTATTAGTGCATGGTTGTGTTTTAAGTCAATCTCTTGAGATATAAGAGCAGATTGACCAATCAACAGAGCAGGCAGGTACAGTTGAGGGAAAATAGATGCTATGCCACTTGAATATCACCATGATCACAAGGAACAGACGCTGAAAAAAAGAAACCCCCCAAAGCCAACAGAGCAACGAAGCCTTCGCCTAGAGCTGCCACCCTGATTGCAGATTTCTAAAACTGACAAATGTCTGTTTGTTAAAGCCAGAAAGGAGCTCTGGTGGGGCAGTGGTTAAAGATTGTGGCTGGTAACCAAAAGGCCAGGAGTTTGAACTCACTAGTAGCTTTGCAGGAAAAGGATGAAGCAGTCTGCTTCTGTAAAGATTACAGCCTTGCAAATAACAACTGAGATTTTAAAAGTTTGCAAGCAGCCATCTAGATGCAATAATGTGTCTCCCCTCGCCCAGAGCAAAGAAAATGAAGAAAACCAAGGACGCATGGTCTTTGTACCCCTCCAAGGGACTGGTACACCATGCAATCCTCAGTCTATATGACTATGAGACCAGAACTAGATGGTGCCGGGCTACCACTGTCAGCCACTCAGTGGGGGATCTATGTAGAAGATCCTGGCTAGAGTGGGAGAAAAAAAAACCATAAAAAAAAAAAAAAGGGACAATGTTTTCTGGTCTGATAGAACCTGATGGAACCACTGAGACTATTGCCCCTACCTGCCTGCAAAAACTACAAGGAGGCCACATATTCTGACCTCCTCTAATCCTCTGCTCTGGTAGCGTAGTGGCTAAGGCACTTGACTGCTAACCAGCAGGCTGGCAGTTCAAACCCACCAGCCACTCCCCGGAAGGAAGGTTGGGCAATCCTACTTCCGTAGTGATACTGCCTCGGAAACCCAAGGAGGGGTCGCTATGAGTCAGGGCTGACTCGACGGCACATAACAACAACAACAACAACTAATCCCACAAGAGGAAGACTGGATTACCAGCAGTAACCCAAGGCCTATTACTGCAAGGCCGGACATGCTGCCTCCCTCCAGCCCTTTCTCCAACCGTTCCTCCCAAAGCACCCACCACCTCTCTCCTGGGTTCAATAATTCACTGCAGTGGCCACACAGAACTCACAGATTATGGGGTTTATTAGGGAAGCACCAGGCTACAACTCAAATTCAGGAAGAACGCTCAGTCTCTCTCCCAGCCCAACGTCCCTCAGCCAACAGTCTCTCACAGTCTTTTTCCCAGCAGTCGCTGGTCCCTCGGTGTCTCACTCAGCAATGCGTGTCTCTCGCGTCTCTTTCCCAGCAGCACGTGTCTCTTTCAGGGGTGCGTGTCTCTTTCAGCAGCACATCTTCCTCCACCAGCAGTAAGAGAGAGTTCTGCCTCCAGGAGGCCTCCTTTTGAGCCCGGCAGGGTGGTCAAACTAGCCAATCATAGCATCAGAACTCTAAGCACCTGAGAGAGAGTGGGCACCTCCCAGAACATTGTATTGTGCCACGCCCAACAGAAATAACCCAGGTGGATAAGATTTACAATCAGCTCCTCATTCCACTACTGAGTTTACAATGACTTATGGGTAGAAAAGCCATACTAAGTAATTTACTACACTGCACTGCCCTTCAGGTCTGGAATTGAATCCACTCCTGTGACTGCCAGCCAAACAAAA